ATATATATATATATATATATATATATATATATATATATATGTATATCATAGATACATCATTAGACACAGATTCGATACTGATCTCCAAATAATAATTTAAATTAAAAATTCTTACTATCCGATGCATCGACTTTTCAATCTTAGGCGAGAATTCTTTTCCGGGAATTAAAATTAAAAAGAAAAAAGACAAAGAGGGCCCACAACGCGCCCCTCTCGTGTTCACGCTCGCAAGATGCAACCGGCGATCGAACGGGTGCACGAAATGAATTCAAATTAGCAACAGCGAGCGCGTCGAGTCCGGCAGGCACGATTGTATCTTTTGCATCTCGGCGGCAACAACCAGCAACAACAACTTTTTTGTCGCAAATCGATCCCGCCCGAAAAGCCAATTTCATGCTCCGTTCAAGACGCGCTTCGGCTTCACTCTTAGCGCATTACGTATTCCGGCCTGCCCCGCCTTCTCATATTATTGCTCCCCTCTCTCTCTCTCTCTCTCTCTCTTTACTTTTTCTTCTTCCTCTTCTTCCTCTTCTTCTTCTTTTTTTTTATCTCCATTCCTTATTTTTTTCTCTCCTCCTTCTTCCTCCTTCTCTCTGTATTACATTCATCTTCCTTCCTCTTTCTTCTTCTTCTTCTTCTTCTTCTTCTTGTTTTCTCTTCCCTTTTTTTCTTGTTTTCTTCTCCTCGTTCGAGGTTAGGTTATCAGGCTCCACGGTAAACCGAGCGTTCATTATAATCGCATCAAGACGAGGAGGATGATGTCGACGGGGGAGGGCAACGGGCCCCGGGAAAGGGCACTGGCCAAAGGATTCTTCCACGTAATTTTCGTTCTACGACGACGTGCAACGACCCGGCTAATTTCGATCTCCAGATCTCGAGAATCGCGAAGATTTGTGGCCACGTTGGTCCCCGATCGCGTTGGAAATCGGCGTGCAACGAATCGGGGCCCACTCGGTTGTATCATTGTTGGTTTCGGATTTTATTTTACTTTTATATAATATTCTCGGAACCAGTGTGGATTTTTATTATTTTCTTTTTGTTCCTTTTTTTTTTCATTTATTTATTCTTGGTAATATTTCTAAAAAGCTTAAGATAAGATAGAAGTTGGAGTCTGGAGAATTTTTCATTTTTCGTGTATTGGTATATATTTTCTAATTTTATTTAACAGCATACGTGTATGTAAATTTAATGTTTTTTTGATATCTTTTGTATTTGATTTAATTATTTCTGAATCTAAAATTTTCCGTAAATTTTTAACAACACAATCGATAATTAATTTCGTGTAATTATATTTGTGAGATGCGCGAATAGTATAGCCTTTCCGGCCTTTTGATTCTGAACAGCTTTGTAACGCTATTTCTTTCATGTCACTGATAATTATTCATCGATGCAGTTTTTGATCTCGAAAGTTCGATAAATTTATTCAAACCTGTAATGAATTTATATGGTCGCTTTGATATCATTGCCATAGGTAATTACAAATCCTTTTTCGCTTTTAATTTTGCGTCCGTGATATTAATCCATTTTTGAAACACATTTTAATGAAATCAATGGTATTCCGTTGTTGCAACTCTTGTAAAATTTCTCTAAAAGTGGAGAAAGTTTCTACCTGTGGTAATTATTAAACATCGACACGATTAAATTGTTAAATAATTTCATTGCCATTTTCTTTTTCCAAATAAAATATTAATCGATTATAATTACAGTTTTTTTTTTTTAAATTTAATTTTAGACTCTCATAAGAACTCTTCTTATTCCAAGCGACAAAATTCATTAAAAATTTCTCTTCTAGAAGAAAAATACAATCTTCTCATCGAAATATTACAAAAAACAATTCCACGCAAGATAAACTTTTTAAAAATATAATAAATATCTTTGCCTCGAGTATCAAAAACAATTTTCATCGTCGTAATTCTTAATTCGCCATTGTTCCTCCACTTCTGTTATTATTTCTCCACTTTTCAAACAACAAATAATCGTGAATAAGGGATTCGTGTGTGTTTGCATCACGCGAAAGGCAGTTTTTCTAAATTCCTGACGCGTCAACCCCTTACCTGCTCCCCTTAGAATAAATATTTCCACGATGGATCGCTCGTGTATTATGTCATAATGGCGCGGGCATACTAATGGAAACGCGCGAACGCTCGTCAGGAGGCGAAGGTTTCGAAGTAGGTACACAGATGGTCCATCGGCCTTAACCCTTCCACGCGGAAATTTCCCGGTGTCGAAGAATGATGGGTCGAAGGGAGGTATGGTGGGGCGCCTATTAATATTCCTTAGACTGCGAGCATCCCGTGAGAAAACTCCCCAAGGGTGTTTTTCCTCCGTCTATTAGCATAAGGCGATGATCCTTTCGTTTCTCACGGATCCTCGCCCATTTATCGGCTCGATTAATGAATTCTTATTCTCTATCTCCGTTTCCTTCCATTCTGTTCCATCGATACGAACACGATACCGCTCGCTTGCTTTTCTGGTTATATCCTTGTACGAAACTTTTTTTTTTTTTAATATTTTATATAAAAAAATCACACTTATAGCGATAATGAAATATATTTGTAGGTATATTTTTTATCGAGTTCTATATTTTGATGAGATTAATGTCTCGTTAAGTTATATAAAAATATTGTTAAATGATATAGAATGTAATATACTTGGGTTTAATTAATTACGTAAATACTTTTTGCAGCCATTGTATCTGAATGTTTATGAGAAATTTAAATTAAAAATAAATCTTGGGATCAATTGTTCGCATGTTATTGAAAGAAGTAGTATTTAAATTAATTCTGATCTGAAATTTTGTTTGTGCATTGCTTCTTTGTAGTTTCTTGTTTCTTAGAGTAAAATCACTGCATAAAAAATATCAAAGAAGAACTATTTTGTTGTCCTGTTCTTCCTTCTTTTTCCTATTCCAACATTCAACTTATTAATTATTTCCACAGATACATAATCATTTTTATAAATTAAAAGTCAATTGATTAAATCAGATTTAACTCATATTTTTATAATAATTACGTATACAAATTTCCAGTTCTAATGAGCAAATATTAAAGATTACATATCATAATATTTATCAACATGAGTTTTTTTTTTTAATCTTCTTGCATCGTTATATCATTTTTTTATATTTTTATAATTAATATATCAGTTAATTATTAATTCTAATGACTTTATAATATGAGCATAATATTAAAAATTAATGAACAACTTTACATTCATGCCTTTGCATGAATTCTTTTTTATCTCTCGTTATATTTATATTTTTTATTCTTATATTATAATATATACTAAAAATGATAGAATTGACGGTGAACTTTCCAAACTGGAAAATTTACAATCGAGTAGTCGGATAGTTAACGGTTCTTCTCTCGCCCTAACCCCAAGGATCCTTAACCCTTCGTGTACGAAGAAATTTTCATAAAATTCCCATAAATAAGCGTCCTTATTTATGCACAATATTTATACGCCACGCATGACCTGAAACGTTGAGCCCTACTGAAATTTTAAATATAGGTATCGACCTAGGATGCATCGAAAGGGGTGGATAGCTTCCTAGAGAGAAGAATAGACGTGATGCTACCACGACACACCTGTAAACGATCGTATTCTTTTCACCTT